TTTAATTTTTGCATATTTGTGATTTGCACAGTTTTCTTCTTATAATTGATTTCTAGTTTCATATCGTTGGGAAAAATGCTCAGTATGATTTTAATCTTCTTAAATTTATTAAGACTTGTTTTTATGGCCTAACATACAATCTCTCCTGGAAAATGTTCCATATGCCCTTGAGAAGGATGTGTATGTTGCTGCTATTGAATAGAATATTTTGTAAATGTCTTTTATGTCCATCTGATCTATCATGTGGTATTGAACTCCTCTGCTGTTGTTGTATTGCTATTTCTTGCTTCCTACCTGTTAATATTTGTTCTAAATATTTAATTGCTTCTATATTGGCTGTATAAATATTTGCTAATGTTAATTGTTTTTGATGGATTGACCCCTTTATCATTATATAATGTCCTCCTTTATCTCTTGTTACATTCTTTGGCTTAAAGTCTGTTTTTTTCTGATATAAATATAGCTACCCCTGTTTTCTTTTATTTCCATTTGCATAGAGTATTTTTCCATCTCTTCACTTTCAGTCTCTGTGTGTCCTTAACGCTTAAGTGAATCTCTTATAGGCAGCAGATAGTTGGATCTTCCTCTTTTTATCCATACAACCATTCCCTTTTTTTTTTTTTCTTTGTCAATGAGGAATTTGTCAGAAAGATGCAGGAAAATCTTATGAAATCTATTTGAGGAAATACAGCTGATCATTATGGCAACTGGAGAGTCACCAGTGAGCTCTTCTTTTTGCCTCCTTATTTTGGGGAACACTTTACCTCTCATTTCTACTTCTCTTTGCAAGAATATTCCATTCTCTGTGTAAACTCTCTTCCTTTTTGAGACCCTTTTTCTGCTCATCTAGACCTTTGCAAGTTTCACTAAGATGTAGCTACTTGTGATGCTAACTCCATAGAGCCTTATGGTTCCAAGGCCAATGTGGTTCGGCTCTATGTTCCATGGCATTCATATTTTTGAGAAAGACTGATTGGCTCAGCTTAGGTCAGGTGACCATCCGGTCTGATCAGCTTTGGTAGTAGTGCAAGGTCAAGCAGAATAAAGAAAGTTGCTCAGACCTAAGCCAGGACTGTTAGGAGAATGCTCCCTGTCTTTTGATTGGAGAATTTAGTCCATTTACCTTTATTTTTATTTATTCTTTTAAGATTATTTATTTATTTTAGAAGAAGAGAGCACGCAGCGGGGAGGGACAAAGGGAGAGGGAGAGAGAGAATCTCAAGCAGACTCCCTGATGAGCATGGAGCCTGACATGGGGCTTGATCTCACAACCTTGAGATCATGACTGAGCCAAAATCAAGAGTCAGACACTTAACTGACTGGACTACCCAGGCACCCCTCATCCATTTATCTTTAAATTAATTATTGATAGGTATGGACTTAATATTGTGATTCTGTTGGTATTTTTCAGGTTGTTTTTTAAGTCCTTCCTCTCCTGCTCTTCTCTTTTGTTATTGGATTATTTTCTGTAAAGATATGCTGCTGCTGCTGCTTTTTTTTTTTTTTTTTTTGTATGTCTATTGTAGGTTTTGCTTTATGGTTATCATGAAGCTTACATAAAACATGTTGTATTTATAATAGTCTATTTTAAGGTGATAACTTTTAATACATACAAAATCTCTACATCTTTACACTCTCTCCCACATTTTTATGTTTTTGAAGTAAAATTTGCATCTTTTTACATTGTGTATTTATTAACAAATTATTATAGTTATTTTTAATAACTTCTGTCAGTCTTCATACTAGAGTTGTGTTTTACCCACCACCATTATTATAACACTAGAGTATTCTGAATTTATATATTTACCTTTACCAGTGGGTTTTATACTTTCATATATTTTCTTGTTACCCATTAATTTTCTTGTTTCAGCTTGAAGAACTCCCTTTAACATTTCTTGTAAGGCTGGTATAATGGTCGTGAACTCTTTCAGTTTTTGATTGCCTGGGAAAATCTTTCTCTCTCCTTCAATTCTGAAGGACAACTTTACTGGGTAGAGTATTCTTGATTAGCAGTTATTGTTTACCCAGCACTTTGAATATATCATTCCACTCCCTCTGGCCTGCAAAGTTTCTACTGAAAAATATGCTGATAGCACTAAGGGGGTTCCTTGTATGTAACAAATAGTTTTTCTTTTGCCATTTTTAAGGTTCTTCAGCTTTTGACAATTTAATTATAATGTGCCTCAGTATAGGTCTCTTTGGATTTATATTATTTACAACTCTCTGGGCTTCCTGAATCTGAATGTCTGTTTCTTTCCTCATATTTGAGAAGTTTTCAGTTATTATTTCTCAGAATAAGCTTTCTGCTCCTTTCTCTTTCCGCTCCCTCTGGGACCACTATAATGTATATAATTGTCTGCTTGATGGTGTCCTGTAAGTTCCTTAAGTTATCTTCACTCTTCTAAATTTTTTTTTTCTTTTTGCTCCTCTGATTGGATGAATTCCACTGCCCTGCCTTCGACTTTTTTGATCCATTCTTCCACTTGATCCAATCTGCTTTTAAACTTCTCCATTGAATTTTTCAGTTCAATTATTTTTAGCTCTGTAATTTATTACTTTTTTGTATTTTCTGTCTCTTTGTTGAAATTCTCACTTTGCTCATGTATCACTTAAATTTTCACTTTGTTCATCCCCTGACTCTGTGACCATGATTTTGAATCTCTATGAGGATATATCATTATTTCCATTTCATTAAGATCTGTTTCTAGAGATTTATCTTGTTCATTTGTTTGGAACATATTCCTGTTTCTTCATTTTACTTGACATTCTGTGTTGGTGTCTGTGCATTAGATAAAGCAGCTACATCTCCCAGGCTGGATAGAATGGTCTTGTGTAGGAGATAAACCTCATCAATCAGCTTTGCCTGAGCTTTTGGTTGACTCGGAAATCTTTGTGATGGTCTAAGTCTTCTTTGTTCTTAGTGGTTCCTAGTAGTTGAGGGTATGCCAAGACCTATCAGTGTCCCAAAGATGTGGGGCACATTTAGCATTTAGGTGTACAGTGACTGGAAGTTGGACTCTCAGGCAGCATGTGACAAAGTGTGTAGGTAAGCCCTTTCTGGGGAGAAACTGTAAGATGGGTGTTTTTGCTTGCTGTGTGTGAAGTAGGCTGAGGTGTATAGCTACAGGGGGGATGCTCCTCCAGTCATTAAGAACTGCTGCTTTGTTTCCTACATTCCTGTGGGACTCATAAATGCAAGTCCAGTTGGTTGTCAGAGACAGGGGACCTGTCCTTCAGTCAGCAGCTGCAAAAGCTGGGGCACCCAAGAGTGTGTACAGGCTGCTTGTAGGGAGATACTGGTGACTTGGAATGGGCTCGAGAGAGAAGGCAGGAGAAGTGTCCATCAGCTTCCCAATCTCCGGGGTATCATAGCTAGCCCCTGGAAGTATGCAGCTGTATTCCTTCCAGGAGGACTGGGAGATGGGTGTTTTCACCTGTTCCTCTGTGTTGAGCCTTTTGGGGATAGCTGTAACGAGTGCTCATGCACCTGTTAATAGCTGCTGCTGTGTTTGCTATGGTTTTGTGGGACTTAAGGATGCAACCGTCATTGGCTTTCAGAGCTAGGTGGTTTGGAAGCCCATCCCTCAAGTGGGAATCTTAAAAATTAGAGTGCTAAGTGTGGAGTCCGAACCCTTCACTCCTCAGAGTGAAGTTGGGAGTTCCCTCCTGCTTATAGAGTGCTGTGCCACCGGTGGGGTTTATGGTGAGAGTGTGTCTCAGCCTTTCCTACCTATCTCTGTGTGGATATTTTCTCATTTGCTTGATATGTAAGAATCCATCAGCTAATTTCTAGATTTCTTTCAGCATTAATTGCTTTGTGTGTAGTGGTACATTCAGTATGTCTGTGGGAGGAGGGGAATTCAGGAGCCTCCTATGTCACCATCTTGGTTGACTTACCTCCACCCATTCTAATTCTGTATTTGTCCTCTTTCATTTCATTTTATTATTTTGTTTTGTTTTGTTTTGTGGGGAGAGAAAGAGAGAGAGAGAACTGTATTCCATTTTAAAGTGCCTTCATTCTGGGGTGCCTGGCTGGCTCAGTGGTAGAGCATGTGACTCTTGATCTTGGGGTTGTGAGTTCAAGCCCCATGTTGGGTATAGAGATTACTTTAAAAAAATTAAAAATTAAAATTAAAATAAAAAAATAAAGTGCCTTCATTCTAAAATAACTTATTCTAGGTCGCAGGGGATGTGTGTATATTTTGTTTTTGGGAGATCTTTTTCATTTCTTGAGATCAGTGTCTGTTATCCCTAAGGTAGTTTAAGATACTGTGATATTTGTTGTCACTGAAATTTGTGTTTCTAGGTGTTGCATACCCAAATTTCTAAATAAGAGACTTAAAAAAGATACATCCCTGTATTTTTTAGCTGCATATATTTTTACCTGCATTTATTTTTACCCATTGTGTCATATTGGAATAATTACTAAGTGCCTTTATAATAGCCAAAAGAGTTAAGGGAAAGGAACTTTACATTTTGTGTTATTGTTTTGTGACTTGAAAACATTGGTAACATACCTTACAAATTTGGGTTTTTTAAAATTTATTTTTATATATTTTTTAGAGATTGTATTTTTTTATTTGAGAGAGAGAGCACACACAGGGGGAGGAGCAGAGGGAGAATGACAAGCATATTCCATGCTGAGTGCAGAGCCCAATGCAGGGCTCAGTCCTGGGACCCTGAGATCATGACCTGAGCCCAAATCAAGTCAAGTGCTTAACTGACTGAGCCACCGAGGTGCCCCTGCCCTTACAAATTTATAAGGCTGATTTCTTTCCAATACGATTTAGGTAGTCAGGTTTGTTTTTTTCCAGGTGGAATAAAGACTTGATCATTGCCTCAGCATCAAATATTGAGTTGTAGAAATGCAGTAAATACTTGATAAATGAATGAAAAATTTAACCAGGAGTAGGTCTGTAGACAATATTAATAATCTAAAAACAATGAAAAGTATGGGATTCGATTGTGAATGCTAACTAATGTAAATCGTTTGTTTTTAGGTGCTAGAGAATCATTACTGTCAGTCTCAGAGTGGACCCAACATTGAAAGTGATTGCAAAACAGATGCTGGCTGTTCTTTTGCAGTATCCACTCAAGGTGGGACTGAGGAAAGAAATGATCAAAATGAGTCTCATCAAAGTATCTTGAAGTAAGTTTTTGAGTATACATTCCTTTTCAGTGGATGATACCTGTTTGATTGTGTTTGGGCTTAGCGGCAAGAATCGAACTCTTGAAAGGTAAAGGAATGAGTATTTCTTTGAGCTGTGGAGAAGGAGGAAGTGAGTACTTTCTGAAGTGCTTTAACAATTAATTGCAAAATATGTTTCTTCCCTGATGGTCTAGCTTGTATCTTCCGAGAGAGGAGCTAATTCTCATTCTGAGAGATCCTCTCTTACTATATTAATTTCCTGTGTCAGAGGAAGTTAAGCTAATCATTTCATCCATTTTTACATATGAAGCAATGTATCTTTGAATAACAAGGTTGAATTTTTAATAGCAGGAAGATTCATTTGTGAGAATGGCAGATTTCATAAGTTGAAATTATTCCAGTTATTTGAGTAAATAAAAATGGGGATGTTTAGTCATTCATTGAACAGCCTTTTATTGAGCTTCTACTATGTACCAGACATGGTTAAAAAACTGAACACTATAAATATGAAACCTAATGTTCCTTTTCAGTAAACAGAATCAATTGAAAGCAAGCTTTTTGTTTCTAAGAACGAGTTATAATTCTATTTTTGTCAATAGAATGCCAACTGAAGCATATAATCCTGAAATAAAAGAAACCAAAGATGAGATTATTTCTGTTACTGATGATACTGAAAAAGAACTTATAGATATTGATGAGGATCTTTTAGAAGTAGAAACATTTAACCAAGAGGAAATGGAAATATACCTATCAGACTATGAAGGTCAGTTCATTTGGCTAATCTTTTTATTTGGCTTTTATTAATTTGAAGTTGGTGAATGATTATCTGAGATAATTTATTTAGTCTTGTATCTAAATTAGTATGTTTACAATTGCCTAAAACCAAAAAGAGAGCATGGGATGTCTGGGTGGCTCAGTCGGGTAAGCATCCAACTCTTGGTTTTGGCTCAGTTTGTGACCGAGCCCTCCGGCAGGCTCTACGATTGGTGGGCAGTCTTGCTCGAGATTCTTTCTGTCCCTTTCCTTCTGCCCCTCCCCAACGAAAATAAATAAATCTTAAAAAAAAAAAGCATAATATTTATGAAACACATTGAACACATTAACTCTTAACCTGAATTTACAGTTCTTGGGCTTTTTGCCTTGATTATGTAACTATCATGGGCCTCTTCATTTTTGTGAACCAATTCTGTGAACCTTTCCTTGGCAGTCTTTGATAAAACAGAAACTCTTAGAACTTTGCATGGCGTTAAACACACTGATAAGAGGTCTCTCAAGGCTTATCTGGGATCCACTTGATGAAGAGGGGTTGTCTCTAGGTGTTTTTAAAAAACATTTTTATATGTCTGTTGACCATTTGTATGTCTTGTTTGGAGAAATGTCTGTTCATGTCTTCTGCCCATTTCTTGATTGGATTATTTGTTCTTTGGGTGTTGAGTTTGATAAGTTCTTCATAGATTTTGGATGCTAGTTCTTTATCTGATAAGACATTTGCAAATATCTTCTCCAGTTCTGTTGATGCTTAACATCACTCGGCATCAGGGAAATACAAATCAAAACCACAATGAGATATCACCTCACACTGGTCAGAATGGCTAAAATTAACAAGTCAGGAAGTGACAGATGTTGGCAAGGATGTGGAGAAAGGGGAACCCTCCTACACTGTTGGTGGGAATGCAGTCTGGTGCAGCCACTCTGGAGAAGAGTATGGAGGTTCCTCAAAAAGTTGAAAATAGAGCTACCCTCGACCCAGCAATTGCACTATTAGGTCTTTACCCTGAAGATAAAATTGTAGTGATCTGAATGGGCACCTGCACTCTAAAGCAGCAATGTCCACAATAGCCAGACTATGGAAAAAGCCCAGATGTCCATCAACAGATGAATAGATAAAGAAGATATGGTATATATTACAATGGAATACACTCAACCATCAAAAAAAAATGAAATCTTACCATTTACAATGACATGAATGGAACTAGAGGGTATTATGCTAAGCAAAATAAGTCAGTCAGACAAAGGCAATTACCATATGACCTCACTCATACGGAATTTTAAGAAACAAAACAGAGGATCATGGGGGAAAGGAGGGGAAAATAAAACCAGATGAAATCAGAGAGGGAGACAAACCGTAAGAGACTCTTAATCATAGGGAGCAAACTGAGGGTTGCTGGAGGAGAGGGTGTGTGTGGGGGGTAACTGAGTGATGGACTTTAAGGAGGGCATGTGATATAATGAACACTGGGTATTATATAAGACTGGTGAATCTCTGACCTCTGTCTCTGAAACTAATAATACACTATATGTTAATTAATTGAATTGAATTTAAAAAACTTTTTATAAGGAGGATAGAAAATATTTCTTCCATTATACTTGTTTCCTGTAATATTCCTGAACCTTATAAAAAGTAAACTGATTTTAGGTAATAAGAAATACTAAGTAATTGGCTTTAGATTTTTGTAATTTTTTCTCCTAAGTTCCTGCTAGATTTCATATTCTAGTAGTCCATGTATTTTCAGTGAAATGTAAAAATATTCCCATTCTCTTTGAGCAGTATTAATTTCTTGAGATCTTATTGCTTGTCACTTGAATCCTGTAGCTGTCATACATCTGGTATAAGCAACATTTGATTTTTGAAGTGTGTAGACCATCTCTTTATATTTCAAGATGTAATTTTACATTTCTGCATTTAAAACCAGTTTGGCCATAATCTAGACGCATGCTTCTAATTCATATACCTGCACATGTGACCTTTGTGAACAGAAATTTGCATGTATAATCTGTGTTTACTTGTAACTTTCTGGTAATATACTGCTTAATATCTGTGTATTCAAGTTTCTGAAGTGAATACCAATAAAAAGAAACCTAGACCATGTTCATTGGTTATACATGTTTGGAATGTTAACCAAAAAAAAAAAACAAAATGATTTTCTTCTTTTCTTTTTTTTTTTTAGATTTTATTTATTTGAGAGAGAGAGAGCACGAGCAGCAGGGAGGGTAGAGAGAGGGAGGGAGAAGCAGACTCCCTGCTTTGCAAGGAGCCTGATGAGGGACTCGGTCCCAGGATCCTGGGATCATGACCTGAGCCGAAGGCAGACGCTTAACCGACTGAGGCACCCAGGCGCCCTAAACTGATTTTTTTCAAATGGTCACTTTTCTCTTTCTCCTTGTTTCCCTATAGAAGGTACCAAAGAACCTGTTGGAAGTCTTAAAAGTTCCACTGTTGCCATTAACATGCAGACTTTACCACAGCATTTAGAAGAAGTAAGTCAATTAATAGTGGATAATGTTATTTAAATAATACTTAAGTGTTTTTATTTAATCATTCAACCAAGGCTATTATCTTTTTAAAAGTACACTGTGGGTTGTAGAGAACAGCCAGACCATGCAGCATTTTTCTTTCACTGAAATTCTATCATTAGTAAGATGTCTAATAATTTTAGGTAATGAAATTTTTATTTCATAAACTGCTATAGTAAATTAACTTAATCAAGAGTAATAGAAGTGTTCTATATTCAGAATGTATAATTCAGCTGTAGTATGCAGTTTCTGCACATATATCACTTTTATGCATTATTTGTTTTCTCAAAACTGCACTGCATTTTCAGTTGGAACACAGACATTTCTAATTACTGAAAAAATTCCTTCAAAAGGGATTAGTTTTTCCTGTTTATAGTTGTTTTCAGATTGTACTTATTAATCATGTAGTGATGGGTATATGTAATTTACAGAGTATTTTTAAATGTAGCGTAAATAATTTCCACTGACATCGTTTGTCTTTGTATTTTAATATGCTCAGAGCCTCAGGTTGATGGGCCAAAGGCAATTCACACAGTTAAAAATCTGATCAGAACAGCACTGGGAATTCATTTTAATGTTTGGTTTCTCCCTTGCTTTTAGACTGTTGTTACTCCAAGTGAGTGGTTAATGTGAAATTCAGAACACCTAAGACAGTAATACCTATTTATATAACCCCTTTTCTTTTTGGGTACTATTAATTTTAACAGCATTCCACAGGAGAGGTTCAGTGTGTAAGGGAAGAACCATTGAAGACATGTATGGAGAAAAAATCAAGTGAACAGAAAGGGTAAGTAAGGGGGAGAAATAAGGAAGTGATTGTTACTGTCATCTGGGATTCATTTGTTGAAGAGGTTATTTTTCTCATAATATACAATATATATTTTATGGTGATATTGTGTTCCTAGTGAAATTTAACTTTATAGCAATGGTAAATGATGATCTTCAGTAAATATTATAGACTTCTAAATCTTGGTAGAGTGAAATAAGTAATGATATCTAAAATGCCTTTTGTTATCCCATCACTATCAGCCTTATCAAAGTAAAATACAGCTGTAAATAGACAGTTTATTCAGCTGCTAATTAGGGGAACACCTTGTCATACTGATTTCATTTTTCTTGGATCAAATAAAGAACCATTATGAATCCCAATGTGTTTGTGTAATTGTTCACTGTTAGGGTGTGACTATTGCACACTATAGGGCTATTCGCCTGGCTAGCATATTATTGCTTCAAGGAGAGCCAGAGGCAGTTTTAATCTATTGCAGGTGGGACATGACTTCTTAATTTTTAGAATTTTTGAAGTTTTAGAATTTTAGAACTACCTTGGATAACAGAGGCAACATAATTAGGTTTTCTTTCTCTTCTCAATATAAAAATTTTGTTCATTTCTGTGGAGAGTTAAAAAAATATATTTTTTAAGATTTTATTTATTTGAGAGACAGAGTGTGAGAGAGAGAGAGTGATCACAAGCAGGGGGGAGGGGCAGAGGGAGAAGCAGACTCCCTGCTGAACTGGGAGCCAGATGCGGTACTCGATCCCAGGACCCTGGGATCATAACCTAAGCCAAAGGCAGATGCCCAACCAACTTAGCCACCCAGGCGCCCAACAAAAAGATATTTTAAATGTGATGTGCCTTTACAAATAGATACTTCTATTAATAAAAAACTAATCTTTACAGTTTTAAATGTAATGAGGGCTCTATAGTGTTTCTGAGCCAAGTGTCTGCTTCTGCCATAGGTGGAATTTGAGGTCCCAGCTAACCTCAACTTCCCCATGTTAGATTCTTTTGTTTCTGCTGGGCAGTCAGCAGTGTTCAAGTTATATGTTCAGTCATCCAGACATATTCTTTGCTTTTTGTTTACATCTGTTACTAATTGCTATGGAGACAAATATAAACAGATTGTAATTATGAGCTAAGCATTATAGAGGATTAGAGAATGTTTATACTCTTAGATGGTTGAGCATTAGATCCCCTGTATCTTAGGAAATGTGAAGAATATCTTCTTAATCAGTTATTAATCTTTAATTCTAGTATGATCGAAGCCTTTTCAATTCCTGAACACACTGTTCCTTATTCATTTTGTGTAGATACAAGTTCAGAAATTTCTAGGTAAGAATTTTTGTATACTCTACCATTTTGATATAATCATATTTTACAGGTAGATAAGAGAATGAGATGATGTCTACTGTGCCATTTTTAAATAATTCTAAATTTTTTGACTAAAAATTAATAGTAAAATGAAAGCAACACAAAGCATTGGAAGAGCAATGTAGGGACACATTTCTGACACCTTTAAGTTTATTATTGGAATATTTTCCTCTAACGGCTGTGTTTTAGATATACAGAAACTATTCTAGAGTAGTCTTTTCTGAAAAAAAGAAGTATAGTTGACCCTTGGACAATACTGGTTTGAGTCACTTGGGACCCCTTACAAAATTTTTTTGATAAAAACAATATAGTACTCTAAATATATTTTTTCTTCCTTATGACTTTCTAAATAACATTTTCTTTTCTCTAGCTTACTTTATTGTAAGAATACAGTATGTAACACATATAACATACAAAATATGTAAATCAACTGTTTATGTTATAGTAGTGTTTCTGGTCATCAGTAGGCTATGAGTAGTTAAGTTTTTGAGGAGTCAAGTTATATGTGGATTTTCGACTGTATGGGGGTTGGTCCCCCAACCCCCTTGTTGTTCACGGGTCAACTGTAGTGGATATATTACTTAAAGTTGCTTATTTTCAGCCTCTAACAGATTTCTAATAGTGTATGAAAGGCTTTTAATTCTCTCATAAAACAGATTCATCCAGTTCTGTCTTTTGAACTTCTTTGACAGAGAATAGTGTGTTTAGTATTTAGAAATTTTGCTGAAATAGGATAACATAGCATAGCCTTACTTTAGGAGAATTCTCCATTATTGGAATTTATCTCATTGCTACTTGTTGGAAACAAAGGCCAATAAAGTTGTCTTAAAATAGGCAGGTCGAGGGGCGCCTGGGTGGCTCAGTCGTTAAGCCTCTGCTTTCAGCTCAGGTCATGATCCCAGAGTCCTGGGATCGAGCCCCACATCGGCCTCCCTGCTTGGCGGGAAGCCTGCTTCTCCTTCTCCCACTCCCCCTGCTTGTGTTCCTGCTCTTACTATCTCTCTCTCTCTGTCAAATAAATAAATACAATCTTAAAAAAAAAATAATAAAGAATAGGCAAGTCGGTTATAATGCCTGTTTTTCATGGATTTGCCAAATAAAGTTTTGTTACTGAGCTTATTAGTATTAGATGCTTGATAAAAGGCAAATATTATTGCTGAAAGGGAATGAATGTAAATCCAAATAATCTAAATGTGATTCAATATATTCTTTTTAGAGATAATGATCAATTTAGTTGGATATAATAATACTTGCTCCCTTATTTAGTTTGTGAAATCAATTTGCTTAGAAAACATTTGAGTACCTGCTGTATTTAAGGAATCATCCCCAATCATTTTATTAAAAGAAACCAAAAACTTATTTTGATCTTTAATTTTTATTCCTATGTAGGCATTTTTTGTTAGGGTTTAATTATAAATATAAACTTTGTGATTTGTTTGGCAATGAAATGTTCACAATGCTGTTGTTTCACATTTAATGATCAACAGGAGTTTGCACTACCCATCTTAGAATTAAACATTTTTTTAAACCCATACTTTCTCTAGTTTTCTTAACTCTATTCTGGATCATTAAATTAGTAACAAAAAATACTCCTGGTATAACTCATCAGAATAATGGTCTCAAACTCAGATGTTTGCAGGGACCAGGCAAGTCAAATAAACGTGTGAACTGTTCTGGGTTGTAACACCATAGGGAAGGGACCATGGCTGACTAGACGTTAAATCTCCCTTAATAAAACAGCATTCACATGAGCACTGTGCTGATGGCAAATGTTTCTGGTGGCTAAGGAGTATGGAGTGATAAGCTTTAGGGTTTAAATTTCCTGAAAACTTCCAGAAAGCCTTTAGAAGAAAAAGGTGAGATAAAAATATTCAGATTGTAGACATCTGATTTGGTTTTTTCTTGATTGTGTTTTTTGTATATATGCTTCCACCTAGTGCACAGATCTCTGCATTTAAAGATAAATCTTCCTCAGCTCCACCTTTCGTATCAAATGGAGTCAGTGTTGCTTCACAAACACCTGGGCCAACACTTCAGCAGACCCAGAGAAATGAACCCAGGGCTCAATTGCCAGATTCTTCAGATTCTGTTAGGCAGATGCTCCAAGATGAAATGTTTAAATTAGTTCAGGTAAGCACATCTCCCTATAAACAAGTAAATCTACACGTATGATATATATGTAAGGATTTTAAATATGAACAAACTTTTAGAAATGGTCAAATCGAAATTAAATTTTAGGGTTGGTTTCTCTGCTTTGGGCACTCTTCATTTGTTATTCAGAGGTTCCTAACTCAAGGGCCTAGAGTCCAGGCTGAGCTACTTACTTCTCACAATGACTTTTTAAAAAATTTTTTTTTATTTTTATTTTTTTAAGATTTTATTTATTTGCGAGAGAGAATGAGAGACAGAGAGCATGAGAGGGAGGAGGGTCAGAGGGAGAAGCAGACTCCCTGCTG